AGGAGATAACACACATAGGCTGAGAACAGAGCACGGAGGAGATAACACACATGGGTTGAGAACTGAGCACTGGGGAGATAGCACACATGGGCTGAGGACTGAGCACTGAGGAGATAACACACATAGGCTGAGAACAGAGCACGGAGGAGATAACACACATGGGTTGAGAACTGAGCACTGGGGAGATAGCACACATGGGCTGAGGACTGAGCACTGAGGAGATAACACACATAGGCTGAGGACTGAGGGGATAACATATGTAGTGCACAACCTCAAAGGAGCAGCTGGAATTTTGAACAGGCTCTTCTGCCTTCTTAATTATGACCCAGCCTTTTGCTGCACCCAACCACCCACTGACCCTCAGACATTGACAGAACTCCGTACCTCCAACCTTTTTTTTTGCACATTTTTGCTCTTTTGGCTTTCAGGAGAGAGGGTTTGGCATACAGGTTGAAGGCATATACAGTAAATAAAAGTTAACCATTGTAAGCACCTCCGGAAGTGTTGGATGGTTCATTCCAATCCCTGTACCTGTTACTTTTGCTGGACAGCTTGGCCTGCTACACATAGTGAAATAATGGCCAATCTACTGGCAGGTTTAACACTTACTAAACCTATATTGTAGTGGGAGTCAGAAAGATAAAAACTGCTACTGACAGACTACAACATATATATTATTTATTTATTTTTATTTCACCCAAATTTGCACTTTAAATTGGGACTTTCCTTCTGAAAACAAAGATTCTTAGTTGAGTTCTGGTAAAATTGGAGAACCACAAAAGAGGAAGTCATCCAAAATCTTGACTTGTGTACAGAGAGCAGTTCTGTTTACCAGGAATGTATGCATTGGCTATTCCTTACCACATTCCGGGAAACTTTGTAACAGTAGAAAGCCAAAGTCACAAAATCTTCACTGATCGGTACTAATGGAAAAATTACCATTTTAGTCTGTTATACAACATGATACCATTAACCCTTTACCTCTCACACCAGTACACCCTCTATGGAACAAATACATTTTTACATTTCCGCCATGGGCCTGCTTACTAAGCGATAACTTTTGTTGGAGCCCTTTTAGCTCTACGGCACACATTCGCTGTGGCATCATTTCGAAAAGCTTTTGCAATTTCACAACATTTATTTCCATCCAGAGTTGCATTCATTTTTCACATAGATCTTGTAGTGATGATGGGAGAGCCGGACCACTTTATGAGGGGTTCAGACCATCCCTGTGCTGAGTTCCCGGGTCTGTACACCTGCTGTGGCCATTATGAGGGGCCCCTACCATCCCTGCAATAAGTTCCAAGGTCTGTGCACCTGCTGTGGCCATTATGAGGGGGCCCCACCATCCCTGCAATAAGTTCCAAGGTCTGTGCACCAGCTGTGGACATTATGAGGGGTTCTCACATCCCTGTGCTGAGTTCCTGGGTCTGTGAACCTTCTGTGCTCAATATGTGGGGTTCCCATCATCCCTGTGCTGAGTTTCTGGGTCTGTATGCCTGCTATGCCCATTATGATGGGCTCACGCCATCTCTGTGCTGAGTTCCTGGGTCTGTATACCTGCTGTGGCTATTAGGGGCTCCCACCATACCTGTGCTGAGTTCCTGGGTCTGTATGCCTGCTATGACCATTATGATGGGCTCACGCCATCTCTGTGCTGAGTTCCCAGGTCTGTATTCCTGCTATGCACATTATGAAGGATTCCCACCATCTCTGAAGGAATTTTATTTTCATATTGTTTAGGAAACAGAATATACATCATTATTATGAAGCATACATGATAGACCTTTTCTCCGCCGCTCTTGTTGAAGCTGTCTCATTCTTGAATGTTTCCTTGCATTTTCTACCCATAATAAATCTTCCACCTTCAGCCCACATAATTTCTAGTTGCATGGGCATGTAGGAGTGAAGAGAAGTATCTCAAGAGCAAAGTGCAGTGCTGGAGGACGATAGAGGACTGTGTTATCATGGCAAGTTGCTCAACAAATCTTGGTGCCATGGGTACCAGGAATAGGTGCTAAACTATGTATGCAGAAGTAAAACTTACATCTCAGCAGGGCAAAGACTTTGGAGGATTTTGTTGCTAAATAAATCAAGTATGTAAAATAA